CTTCCTTGAGCATCTTCTAATTGTGGAGCTATAAAAGCCTTCAGGAAGACAAGGGTCATTATTCCCGTCTTACGGGTGGGAAAAGCTTAACAGGAGCAGGAGTAATTTGATTTGCCCACAGCCACAAGCAGGTTAATGCTGAAGCTAGAAGAAGAATCTCAATTTACATAGTTTCAAGCCACTATTTTAACCAAGTAACCGGTTAGCCTGCCTTATCCTTATTATGCATGTCCTGTTTACAGTAAAGAAATTAAACTCAAAGATAAAACAATCAGTATTAAATAATTAACACCTCTCTCTTTTTCAATACTGTGCTTTGTGGATGTGGATAGGGAGATGGATGTGTTTATGATATTCCATCGGTTCAACTGATTCAAACCGAAAAAGAAAGTTTAGATCGCTTAACCTAAATATAGTCATCAAGTCCATCAAGATGCCACTGCATTCAGAGTATCTGCCATGCAGCACTAGTAAAGATTTTGTAAAGCAAAATTCTGCTGAATGTGCTCATAAATATTAGAATATTCTTGATACGCTATGCTGAAAACACCGAATCTGTGCTGCAAGTGACGAGTGCTGCATATCAATTTTTGGAAAATGCTAGTATTTGTATCCAGAGATACTACTAGCAATACAAAGATACTGAAATTGGCATTGCAACGTGATATACAATTATTTTGGGTCAAAGTAGGCCATTGTACATAAATTCACATAACGAAGTTCAACACAAAGCAAACTAACAATGGACTTGGCACAGAGAAAGAGATCAGCAGCTGTGCTGGGAATTCAATGGGGGAAAACTATTTTAACGTTCAATGTGTATATGAAATCATCTTTGCAACTGGCTGAAAAATGCAAATAATATACATCGAAACTATAATTCCTTAACATTACAATTCTTTAAAAGAAAATTCAAGCTTGCTTAAAATGTAAACCGATTCCAAAATCAAGGGGTTTTAAGAGCTATGATTAGCTGATGAGAGGTGTTTGAGCCAGAGGATATCGTAGCTGTGATGGCACTGCATCATTACTGGCTTGCCTTCATTTTTTTCACATTGGCAGTTAACAGTTCATACACAAGACTCCAAATGCACTTTACAGAAAGTCTTTTGGAGAGGTATTTGAGAAGGTAACAAATGACAGAAAGCTTGTCTTGTTCTGTGGCAGGAGGAAAAACCGTCTAAACGGTGGTTTGAGAGCATATTACGGTAACGCAAAGCAACGCGTGCCTTACACAATACAGACAATGCTAAGCAATACCGTTTAAAGAAAACAAAGCAGTCATTGATTTTTAATATCAGCATTAAAGGTTTCCAGTCTAAGTAACTGCACTTTGTACGAAATATCTTTAGATGAGGTTGTGCCTATTTATAAGGAATTAGGAGAACATTATACAAACAAGTGCAGGAACACACATACTGCTATGACCATTTTCTCAAATACCATTCCTCCCCTGATGTTTAAACCAGACATTTCTACAACTGCTGCAAGGAATACTGATTAAAAGGGACGGTATTTTTGTTTGTTTGTTTTTTACACAAGTCTCTAGAGATTATTTTTTCCGTTCCTTTAGGGTGAATAAGTGGCCAAGCTGTTTTGTACTTTTAAAGCTGCAAAAGCCTGCCTGCATGCAAACATACGCATATGAGAGCTTACTCTGGAATTCAGGTGAGAGACAGGCAGAGGGGTTTCAGAGGGGTGCATGAGCACGAATGCCAGAGAATAACCACACACTACAGCAACAGATGTTTTTTGGACCTAGGGAAACCACTGTTTTTTTTTTTCCATGGATGCAAACATTACTAATGGATCAAGCAGCAGCCAGCTGAGAGGTCCTGACGAAGATATTCTCTAACTAGCCTTCATCTGAAGGGTGAAGCCTTTCTTAACTCCTGGACCAGTGCACAGACTCCCACAGGGCAGCTTCCTACCTCAAAACGACGGTCCGGTCCCATGGAAGAGTTCCCCTTTAAAATGTCCTGGCAGTCCACCAGGTCATGCAGGTATTTTAGGAGTTTCTGAACACTGCTGATTGTGACAGTGCTTTGTGGGGCAAAGACTTATTATTTGCTCAAGAGAACAACATTTGAGGCAGGGAAATTTTAGCCCCCCACAAAATGGGAACTAGCGTGCGCGGAAGGGAAATCATCCTGATAAGATCAAAGGCACACCCACCCAATTTTCCATGAAAGTCCATTTTGAACCCTGCTTGCCCTGCCTCAGCATTTGGATGAGATTGGAAGTGGGGACTGAGGCCCACCACTTGCTCAGCCGCGTTGCCCGGCATGACACTTGTGCTCTTTGCCCCGTAACAGGAAGAAGCTGAAGAGCCCCTTTGTCAACTTTTGGATTACATCAGATATTGCCCTCAATAACAGAACATTAATAATGCTTTAAAGCAAACGTTCAGTGATACCTCCAAAGTAACTCTGGGACATAAAGCATTATATAAACCTCCACTACAAAAAAAGAATATGACATAATGACAGCTGCTTTTCTATTGCACATCTTCCAAACACATAAAAATACACAGGGGACAACTACCTAGAAGTTCCTTCTCTACAATGCTCCACTAAGTATGCAGAGCAACCTCTACTTTAACCAGCTACCTCAAATCACTTCCCAAAGCTGCTAGGTAACAGCCTGCACTTGACCTCTACGTTTTGGTTGATACACTCTGCATCTCAAACTTCTAATTAAAAGAAGAGGGAGAAAAAAAAACAAAGCACGAAGTTTATCCAAATCAGTTCAAATGTACTACTTCTCCCAATTACTGCGGCGTGCCCAGGTCATCATCATATTGCACCATTAACGCTTAGGAATAATCTAGCACGAAGTCCTATAAACTAGCCTAAATAGCTTGTGTGTTTTCATCCATAAGAGCGTATTTCATAAAGCTGTTATCACTGGTATTCAATGCACAGGGATCTAAATGAAGCGAGTGCATTGCATCTATTTTAGATGAAATTTAATAAGAAAAGACTAATAATTAGAGAAAAAAAAAAACAAAGCCATCACTTATCTATGAAATTTAAACATTATGCCAGGAGTCAAAAAAATAAATCTTATTTGATATTTACTCATTAGGCCCTGTTGCCTTATGGTACTTTTATTTTATTTTATTTTTAAAGGAATGAACCTTACTGCTGGCATTTCTGTTCAAGACAAGCTTACGTTTTATGGAAAAGGGCTCAGAATTTACAGTGACATATATAAGAACAACACAGTTAGACTACTCTAAAATATAATTTACAACTCAATTTAAGGAAGCTTCCATTTTAGGAAAAACATCAACTGCATAAGAACAATCCAGATTCCCTAGATTCTTATCAAGGTCTGTTAGTTCAGGAGACTTTGTATCAAACCCTAAGCACTTTTATGTCTTGACAGTGGATCACCTTCCCAAAAAACACAGTAACGTACCTGCATGCTCTGAACAAATTCTACTAGAAGCTATATTGCATGCTGAGTTCTTTTGAAAACAAAAAAACAAAAAAGCCAAACAACAGAGAGAGTTTTAACAGTTTTGTGTTGGCTCACTGGTGAGTACATACATAATGACTTTCACCTCCTGAAACCTGTCTGCTTTATTCTTACGCATAGACTTGAAGGGATGTTTACATGTTTGGCTTGCTGCATCAATTCAGAGGATAGAGTTACTGTAAAAATTTACATTACTGCAGGCATGTAGTGATGAAGCAGACAAGCACAAGGAATAAGAGCTTTTATTGCATTTTGCCTGTCTCTGATGGAGAAGAAAAAAGTGTAGTCATTTGTCATGACAGTAGCCACCATAAAGTTTGATTTGTTTATCTATTATATTAGATTTTATTTATGCAGAAAAGTTTTTGAAAGAAATTTAAATTTCAAGATAAATCACAAATTTGACCTATCCATCCAGATGGTGTTTCTTCTGAATTGATCATGTATTTCAATTTGCTGTACCCACTTCTAGTTTATAGTTGTGACATATGCAATGTGCCAAGGACACTTGCCGAATCTCAAAGTTAATTTGAATAAATCAGAATTTGATACACTACTTTCCACACCACACTATGAAAAACAGGAAAAAAAATGTTTTTAAATTTCTTCTATCATATGTAAACGTGCCTATAACAAAAATAGCGCTAAATTTAAAATGGAATTACAGAATTCTTAAATAAATAAATAAATATGCTTAAAGTCTCAGTGGATTAGTTTTACTGTAACTCATCATTCTGCTGAATGTCTTGGGATTGCACGTGGATCAGTCACTTGGTGCAGAAACGAAGGTGAAGGATAGATTTTTATAAACTAAGCGGCGCTAGTTTTTAACTAAGAGTACAGCTCACTGGCCACGTGGGTAGAACAAGTGGGGACTTCCTAGACTTTTGGTCTTTCCCTCTGCTTCTGCCAAAGACTTTTCTCATCCTTTTGAGCAGTAAGCCGAGTTAATTTGGGGCTGGATGAATTCCCTGAGCCTGCTTACAGATACTGTCAACGTAAAAAGGATGATACGATAGTACAGGGATACAATAACCTAAACTTAGGTGGCTGAAAATACCATGGCTCACCTTTGTTTAAACCGTATCACCTTTCCAAAAATTAATGCAAATTTCAAATCCTAAATCCCCAGATACGTCACTGTTCCCTATTACATGCAACATTACTCCAATTCATATGATTTTTCTTGTTTTGTTTCCGTCACTGTTATTCCAGAACACCAAGAAATCAAAACAGAAAAACATTCAGCCTCAGAATCAATCTAAAATGTATATTCTGGGTTATTATAATTAGTGGTTTTGGTTAATTTTTAGTCTCTTTATGAAGTTATTGAAAGCTGATAGAAAACTATCAGCTGTAATGGGTTTTCTAAATCCTTCTTTGGTCCGTCCTGGTAAAATTACTGTATTACTGAAGGTATCAGAATTAGAATACCAGACATATTGTAAATGTAAGACTGCAAATATTTGCCTGAAATACCAATTATAAATAATAAGAATTAAAATTACTGTCAATACCTGTGGTTAAAGGCAGATGAGTGACACTATTTAGACAGGTGAGCGTGAACCAGGTTGATGCTAATGTTGCTCCAGATAAAAGCAGCAGCAGTATAAATTTCAGCATGCCCCTGATAAAATCCGCAAATCTAAAACAAAAGCACAGGTCAGAGCAGTATAAATGCTAACTTTCATATCATTTTTGATGTTTGACAATTAATTCAATATATTCTCAGTAAACATTTCAGAGGCTACCAAACAATTTAAAAATCACTTCCCATTGTCTGAAATGGCAAAAAAACATTTTTATACAATGGTGATATCTGTAGCTGTCAAGCTGAATACCCATGTATTTTATAGCTGACACAAAATAACAGCCAAAACAAAACAAAGAAATCTTGAGGCATCACTGACAATATTTGGTACTCAGGAAGGATTGTCTTTCTGCATTTGCTGGACACAACATCACACCACTACTTCCTTTGCTGTTTTGTCAGTGTTTGCCAGTCCCCCTTGGCAGACGCACTGATCAATTAGCTATGAGGAATTTGATATATTTCATTCAATATATAGTTAAGTGTTAAGATCCATTCCTGCGGGAAATGACAAAACTGCCAGTACCGGAATCCCCAGAAAAAAAAAAGAGAACAAGGTACGACTTTTGAAGCCTCGCTTCTATTGGTAATGAAACTTTCAATGGCTTAAGCAAAGCAGGATTTTTTTTTTTAAACCTATGCAGTCATTCTGCAGGTGGCTGTATCGGTTTAAAATGTTTCAGAAACCAAGGAGCTTGGTGTCACTCTTCCCCTACAGACATGCTCTACTGATGATTTGGGAGAGGATATCTGTGCAAGTAAATAAGATCTTTATACCAACTGATGGTGCAGTCATTTTTTTCATCTGTTTTCATTTCTCCTTCTAGGAGACATAATGCATTTGAACAGTAATACATGGCATAATTATCAGTGCAACTGCTCTTTTCAAAAGAGATTTCAACACTGATACAGGAAAAAAAAGATATATTAGAAAAGGTAAGGTCATTTAATCCACCAGCAATTTGCTATAGTCCCCTGGTTATCAAGGAATATATGCCTTAGGAATGTCTTCTACCCTCATCGCCCCTTACCTCTAGCAGCACAACCCACCCAGCTTGGGCCACGGTGAAATCAGTCCAGCCAGTCAGCTAACTGCCTTCTCTCTCCTGACGCTGATCGCTTTACAGGCCGATACTACATAGCTTACTTGATAAAACAAATAGTGCTACCAACGTTTTGAGAGCCAGGAGTTCTAGCTTCATATATATCACAAGAGATGTACGCGTTACTGAATCCTAAAAAATTATCACATCTTTCCTCCTGTTTCGGCTCTCCCTGTGCTTTAATTCCACACTGAATTTAGCAGTAATTCAGTAATTCAATAAGCGGTAGAGGAAGATCAATGCTGCCTATGATCTTAAAAGTTTATAACTGTAGTGTTCAAATGGCATCTGCGTTAATCTCGAGTAGTAAGAGGTTAGCTGCTAGTTTTTCCTGACAATCCATATCCAGCAATCAGGATCACCCCTTTTCAAAGTCCGTTTCTTTAAATTATTCTTTGTGATCACCGGAGCCAAAACCAGCAACACAAAAAGCTTCTCAGAAGCATGACAAAGTGTAAACTTTAGTTTTCTTCCAGAGACTCCTTTCTTTGCCTTTCGGCAGCCAACAACAGTATTCCCTGTTCTAAGAGGTAAGAGCAGTTACGTATATACTGTCTAATGAAAAAAGTGGAAAAAAAAAAAGTTAGCCATCAAGAAGAGAGATTCACAGAAAACAGGGCTGGAAGGAGTCGCTCGGGCATCCTCTATTTCTGTCCTACCAACAGGGATACGTCTGGATGACAGGATGATATGCATCCAAAACACTAAAGACGGTTAAGCAGAGCAAATATCTACCTTTACTGAGCAGCTGCAATTCTTTCTGGCAGAAAGAATATGGTTTCAATATCAGTGGTAGAAGCACGCTCCAAGGACCTCGTGGATATCACAGGAATCAGAGCCAAGAAGGGGCAAATATAAACTGAAAGTTTTATGTGGCTATTCAATTTGCCAGCAACAGAAATAATGGAAACAATAATTTAGCAAACTGGCCTGAACTTGGTAATTGAGGGATTTCTGCTTCTTGCCTTGTTACAGGAGAATAAAAAAAGACTGTAAAACTAGTCAACTTTTCAGAACACTAGTTTTGTTCCAATAATTGCGGAGAATGTTTCTGATTTTTTCCTCTAGTCCCAGCACAATGAGTCCTGCCTTCAAAACCCTCTGTTCTGTTCAAAACCTTCTTCAGCACCTAGCGCATAGTGGCATATCTGCATTTGCTAAAACTGTAGGCATTGCAGGGCAAAAGGTATATACTTGCCCTAGGACGCATCTAGGACGCAGAGCTCTTGAGCCTCGCATTGGTAACCATCTTCTGCAACACACCAAACCCAGCCCTGGGTTGTATCCTATAGTTAAATCTATAACATAAATGTATGTTGCTGACAACACTGTCTGTTGCTAAGGAAATTATCACCATGTCATAAAGTTTCAGCATTTCGACTATGCTGTAGGTTAAAATTAGAAAGAAACGTTGGGCTGTGAAGGACAAAACCTCAGAAATATCTGTGATCATTAGCAAATGTAACAAAAAAAAAAAAATCCGAGAAGAGTAAATAGATTTATGCTTCAGCGCGATAATATGGATGTCGCTCTTTGACACTGCTTTTCTTCAAACCAGTATCATTCTAAAGCTGCCAGCACAGGGTGCAACACCTGCCAGAAATCCAAAATAGCCCAGGCTTTTCAATTATAAAAAATGCATCACGCTAATTAGCTAAACATATCCAAATTCAGGGCTATGGGGAGGGCAGGGGGTACAAAGCAGAAAGATTTATATATTGTGCTGAGGAAAACTTGCACCATTTTGAAATTGAGATAGATAAATAAATAAATGTCCAAACTATGCATTACTTTTAATATAGGTGATTTAACACCAACTGTGACATGCAGGGACAAATGCTCCAGTGCAAACCTCAGTTGTTATACATCTGAAGGGTAGAATCTACATTGCCAGAAATAGGAAGAGCAAATTCTAAGCTGCACCAATTTTGCTTTGGCTAAATCAGCAGAAAAAAAAAAGTTAGGAAAACAAAAAAACTCAGCTTCTTGGGAATGGTTAAGGAAGAGAGTTGCTTCTTGGCAAGTCACAGTTCTGACATTGAAATACATCAGCTTGTCACACTTGACAAGAATCATTACCTAATTTTCCTAATTACAACTTTCAGCAGATTACAGTCCGAATCGTCATTGATTCAACGCTGCACAGATAACTGCTGAATAGGCCTAGGAGGGAGAGTCATCCATCAGGGGCGACACATCGCCCCCGCCCTCACTTTCTGTGGGCAAACCCTCCCGTTTGAACTGCCCCAGCTGGAAAGACATAGTTGAAGACAGACTGTTGGTGTTTTTTTCTAATTTACTCAAAACGAAAGCTCTGAAGGCTACAAAAGCCCGGTATGCAATAGGGTTTGAAATCAATTCTGAAGTAGTTGGAGAGACTGTCAGCATTTCCTGTTATTTAACCCAGGCAATATATTAGATAAATTAATCTTCCATAAAGGTTGAGATTTGCATGTTGGCACTGACTCAGCAGATTCTCTCCTGACAAAGTTAAGGGAGCTGCTAAGCATGCTCCTCTACTTTTGAAATACCCCAGTATATGAGAGATTAATCCCAGATGTAAAGGATTAGACCAGCACACTAGCTCCTTCATCACATAACCTGCTACAGCATCTAGGTCATTTACTGGGCAGAGTTTCTTTTACAGCAGCTGGTTTTAAACATTTACTTGTTTTAGACAAAAAGCCTCAATACCCAAGCTGAGCTAATCAAAAGTGACTCTGTGGAAGAAACCAGTGTGTGAGCTGTGTTTCAATAGACTAAGTCCTCCGGGTAGCATTCGGACTGGAGAGAAGGGAAACGTTTGCTTCTTTCCCGAGGTCAGAGGGGATTTTCCTCTTCCTCCTTTTTGGCTGCTAGGCAGCACACAAAGTGTCAGGAAGAGAAACCTCGCATTTCCTTATGCATTGCTTTGCATCAGAGTACACAAAAAGAGAGCTTCAAGTTCTGCCGTAAAAAGATGCCAGTTTGGGTCCACAATCCCGCAGTGACTACAGTGATGACAGATCCCTGCACTTGCGCTATGCTCATTGTGGAACTGGAATCTGAAAAGTGGACATAAAGAAGCCAGGACACTGCTTCAAAGTCCAGAAGCAAGGAGAACCCGTGATCGGTTTTAATCTGTTTTATAAACTCACTGCTCAAGGACGCTTGAAAGCCTCCCCCCCCCCCCCCCCCCCAAACTCCCCCTGATGGGGACCTCAACGGAGAAAAAGCCATAGCCTTTAGGCAGGGTGTTCCATTCCCTGCCTTGTCCACTCCTCACGTCTTTCAGCACTCATGAAGGCCAGAGCTGTCTGTGTCTGGATATGCAGAAAGCATGGGTACAGCCACACTGTAGCACAAAGCAGAGAACTGTTAGGCCATACAGGAATCCAATAGTGTAGCCAAAGTGGGCCTAGACTAGTTTAGGGTGCAATGTACTGTTATGGTGTCTGGGCTGCCTCTGCTTTGTTCCCAAGGCCCCTTCAGGAATCAGTATGCCCAAAAGTGTTGATGGAAGGAGACAGACACCGTACTTCTTCAATGTTTTCCAAATCTGCTAGGATTGGTTCTCCCCAATACTAAACAGCTGAATTCACAGTAACTGCGTTCAAAAGGAGCAGATCGGAAGCACTTGTCAGGAATAACAGTACGACTCGTCAACTTGAGGCAAACGCACACATGGAGTTCTCAACCCCCCAAAGACCAGTAATATGGAACATACAAATCATGGCTCTACAACGAACACATCCTAACCCTGGAACTATGCATTTTCCATTTCAAGTATCTAAAAGATGAGAGAAGTCTGTTATTAAGAGCATAAGCCAAATCATAATCACAGGTGAAGAAATGGAGAAGGACATATAATTATTCTTACCTTGCCATTGCTATGCCAACAACGCAACCTCCAACTATGGACCAAAATCCAATCCAGCCTGCATCTACCTGAGAGAAAACAAAGAAACAAACATGGAGAATGTGTGAAAGCTGAGAAAATGAGATTTTACTTTCAAAACAAATGGTGAACAGGGGCTGCAAATCACTAGCAAATCATCCTCCCTCACCCAGCCAATCTGAAAAGCAGTATTTTTTCTAGGATATTCTATGGAAATACATTCACTAAGAAGAAAAAAGAAAAAAAAATTTTTTAAAAGGTATGACCAAGTAGCCTATGATCTAAACGTGACCTCTCTTTACAGAATCATCTGAAGAATGTCCCCTGGATTTTTATAGCACTCTATGAAAAAGCTTAAAAATCCTCTTTTCCCCTTTTCATCCTTTCCACCTGGTAAACATTATTTTCTTTTACTAAAGGTACAGCAGCCAACAATACTCCCACTTGTTTATGTGCCTCTTCGTTCCTGTCAGAAGGTGCATGCAGTTCTGAAAATATTAGCCACTAGTGAACAGTTTGCAGGAAGAATTATGACAGTTTGGAACGCCAAAGCTAGTTTATTTTGTTTAAAGTTTCAGGAGAAGAGAGGTCCATACGTATTGATAGATTCTTAAACAAGAAAATTTGCTAAAAATTGTATGTTAATGCAAAATAAAAACATATCACTTGCAAAATAGCTGCTGATTATCGGTCAGGAGATACTTACTTGGCTTACATGCACTGGTGTTAATATCAAATCCAGAACACCAGACCAGCCAGAGAAAACACCCAACGGTATAGCATAAGCTAAAGCAATCATCAAGAATCGGAAATTGCTGTGAAGACAAAACATATGCAATTAGCTGCTGCTTATATTAGAAATTGCACTAAGATTAGCTGCAAGAGTAAATTACACCCTAGAATCTATACTCTGCCCATCAAGAAAAAGAGTGGAGGTCTGAAGAATGAGTGAGTCAGAAAAAACAAGGTATCTGGCTATGTCACTAAAATTCCAGTGGCTGAGATGTTATTGCCTTAGCACTATGATATATAAATATATATAAAAGGAAAAAAAGAGCCATTCTCTCTACATGGTTCAAAGATTTTTGCAATGTACTCATATGTTTCTCATTTCTGCAAGCAATTCTTCTGCATTTGCTCGGGCAACCTATTTAGCCTAAGTATATATTAGGAACAACAAGCACTAATTCAAATGACAAAAAGCATACTTCAAGCATAAACTCGGAGATTCATGCTCTTTGAACAACACTCTTTTTGTCTTACTTTTTTTTAGTTTGGTGACAGGGAGGGCTTGGGGAATGAGTTGGGTACAGCTGCAAGAGCAGAAAACTGACAGTTTGCACTATCAAAAAGCAGAGATATACGTATAAGATTCTGCTCTAAATATTCAATGTTTTGGGGTTTTTTCCCAGTTAAAATTATTCAACCTTCAGTGAAGATGAAGCAGTCAAAGCTGTGTTATCATCTTCACCCTAGAAGACTAAACAGGAGTTAGCAGACAAGTCCTACAAATACCACGACCAACCTCTTCTCCCCTCCCACCCCACTGCTGTAGCTGAAAGCAAACACAAAACCTCTGCAAACAGAGATCCTACCCTTCCTCCGAAATGCTTCAATTTGGAAATAAACACAGAAAATATACTTTGGATTGTGCAACACTGGTATTTCTACGTCAAGCCTTTTGATGGCCATTCCAGTTATTTTGTTGCTTCTGAAGTTCTTTCCAAGGTGGTTACTCCAAGGAATATCTGTGTAACCACAAAACTTGCCTCCCACCATCCTCCAAATAATTTACATAAAATAGATACTGATCTGTACCCATTCCTTGGTGTGCAGTGGCAATTTGATAGCGCATAGTTACTAAAGCCAAGAGGACGAAAAAGAGCTTCATATATTCTCCAAAACATTCAGAGGTTTCCAGCTTTTTTACTCCCTTAGAAGATTCAAAACCCACCAACCAGCATTCTTTGGACTCTATTCATTTTCACACATCCTCTTCTTGAATAACACATTTACATCATATGAACATATCCTCCACTTGCAATATCATTCATGTCAGATTTATTTTTTTAATGCAAAGAAAAACAACTCCCAAACTTTCAGTTCCTCCATGCTCTGCTTGTACTTCTCAGAACGCCAATGCATTTGCTTTTCTCCTGACAACCTTTTTTTCTTTCTTAAGAATGCCACACTCTTATCCTACGCTATGCTGTGTCATCTTGGCATCTCTTAAGGCAGGTTTTCTGAAGTTATTTAAGACTATCCATGTAAAAGCTATTCCAATATTTGTAGAATAAAAGGGAGAGTGCTCATTTTGCATGGACATTATGTAGTTATGCCACAGATTGCAAAGGAAGACGACTGAATGCACTGTTCCAAAATAACACTTGCCCACTACTCAAAATCTTTGGTTATCTGTACCTTTTATTCATTGAAGAGCTACTTTTAGGGGTAAGTACTTTGTAACTTACCCGAAAGAGTAAGAGTAAGTCTCCTGTGACACATTTATCTTCTGTAACTCAAGCTACGGGACAGACTAGCATGTGGGGTTGCTGCTCTGTGTCAGACTACCTGTGGAGTCTGGTCATGGGCAACCTGCAAGCCCAGCACTAGAGAATAAGCTCTGCATCATGGTGTCCTCCAGTGACAGAGGCTCCTATGTTGTCACCCTGCTTAGCCTCCAGATTAAGGAGGCTGACCAGGAGAAAGGGGACATGACGGTGACATACTTGGAGTGGCACCAACTACCTGATGTCATTTTGTCTCCTCGTCCAACAGCAGTCAACACTGGCTATGTTAACTGTTAAAGCCACCTGAAAGATGCATCTTAAGTACCAGCTCCACTTCTCCTCGCTCCAGACACTAGTATTTGTTTTTACAATTTTGCAATTGGAAATAGAAAAAGCAATGTGCTGTCTGTCACACCATCCATTGGCAATCCCGCACTGTTTCCCACCATAACAGCCTTTATGACAGGACATCAGCATTAGCCACTCTGTTCAGACATTCTGCTGGAATACGAATTGGCTTTTTTCTTCTGTTTTTTCAGAAACCTACTTAACGCTACTAGAATCCGTAAGACAGGCTGGTTCAGAGGGGAACACTGTCAAAGTCAGTCAGCATTTTCAGAGCAAGTTTGACAGTGCCTATTAATATCAGGCGTACTCTCAGCCACTTTCTGACTGGATGGTGATATCACGTGAAAATTTCATTAAAAAAGCACAAAAACCCTACTATGAACTTTCAGAATTGCTTACGAAGTCCCCTGAAAATATAAAAAGCATGTAACTGGGTAAGAGCATCTTATTACTTCAAAGCAAAATCAGTAATGCTGATTTAACTTAATGAAAATTTTAAAACGACGTATCAACTACTTGCTTATATTACATTTTTCTCCCATGGAAATTAGTGGTATATTCTGAAATAGGAGGAAAAAACCATGTTTACTTTACTCAACAAACTGAGAAAGAGAACTGTATTTTTTCTAATGGAAATTCAAATTATACTTGTCACAGTGTGTGATAGACTGTTAAAAGAATTGGGCTTAGCTCCCAAATCATGACTAATCTGTCACCTCCCACTGCAGGCTGACAGAGTTGGTATCAGGAGATAACCAGAGATCAGGTGATCTTTATAATCTGTCAGAAGCAGGAATCCTCCAAGTCAGGAGGAAGAACCATGTTCCCAAGCAACTCCCAGAAAAATGGCCTATGGAGGATGGTTGTTACAGACAGCAACCTATAAAGAGAAGGGTGCACTAAGGTTTCTCTTTGACCCTAAGAAGATGGAGAACACAACTCTACAAAGAGGAGGTCGTGAAGACTGCTCAATGATGTGAAGGCACAAAGGAGTGTGCGAGTTACAGGGATATGATGAAACTCCTTTGGTAGCCAAAGGAAAAGGTCAATGACTTTAATGGTGAGGTTATGCTAGGCAGCTTTATTTTAAAGTAATAAAACTGAAGCCTGCAATAAGAAAAGGAAAATGATGAAAATCCTGTCTCAAGAGTGTTTTTTGGTGCATAGTTGGGTAAAGTCAGCCCGCCAGCTCACACATATCCTAAATATATGCACCCAATTTTCAAACCAGAGGGTAAGTCTGCAACAAGTCATGATTTCCTTGTATTTATCAGCTGATTTCCTTCAGTCTACACCACTACGTCAAAAGAGAGCCTCTCTGTGCCAAGAATTATGAAATCTAGATTAGGCAAGCAACAGAGCTTAGAAGTCTAATGAACCAGATGATGGATTTCTTTTGAAGCACAGCAGATACCATTTTCTTTTACAAAACGCCCTTGCTTGACGGACTGTTGCTGAAAGGCTCCCCAAGATAAGTGATTTTAATGATGAACTGTTGATTGCTCCATATACAGAGGAATGAAGAAGTGCCTTTGATAAGAGGTAGCATGGAAGAATGCATGAAGACCAGATGGGAGGGAGACATAATGATCTACCCAACTGCATTTTGAAAATCCTCATGGATCTCTGAAACACTATAACCTGTGCTCATTATTTAATTGTCCAGCTTCTTTTATTAAGTTTTGTTCATTGCGAATGGTAAGTCAGTTTCACTGTTTATCTCCTGACTTTACCAGTATCTCAGGTCCAGTGTTCACAATACTTCGAACAAGCGATCTATTAGTTGCAAAGCTCCCAAATGGAGTACTGTCAAAAGAAATTTTATATTTCACCAGCAGAGTCAGTTGTTGTTTGGGTTTTTATTTGACAGCAACATTTTTACAACACAGCCCTCAGGCAGGGTCTCACCATACACCAGTTCGGGTGTGTAACAGCATTACTGTGTGACTAAGTGTCCTTATGGGAATCTTTTTTCTTTTTTTTTTTTTAAATATCCTGAGTAGGTCACATTGCAAACGAAACCAGCCAGCTGCATTCACACCTTCTCCCAACCACCAGCCTGCTCCAGGATGAACATACATGAGTAAGCATTTTGTCTCACACTTCTGAACTACACAGAACTATTTAGTCACCAAAACTGAAACAAAATCACTAGAAAAACCACATGAGAATAGGGGATGAGCTGCTTCTGCTGGCCCTAAACACATTTTTAGAAAGTACAGCACACAATAGGTCTGCAATAACTAAATGCATAAAGCTCCACAACCATCCTATCAAGTTTTAAGTAAGTCCATTTTACACAGATTTAGCTCCTACTACTAAATCACACCAGAAATGATTGCAGCAACAGTTCGGAGCCGCCCGGTGAAGTCAACCAGATTCCGCATCGTGACAGCGGCTCTCTTATGCCCCAGGATTTTTATCTATGCAGTATTAGGTCCAGGGCACAGACCTTAACAATTTTTCAGCCCCTAGATTCTTATAAAGAGGTTATACTTTAAACGGACAGGAAAAAGAAAGCTGCAAAGTGGGAGATGTCATTTAATCTTAAAACATCAACAGCTTTGATGAAAACTAATCAAAGAACTTGTCCAGAAACACACTTGGACACACCTCTCCTATCCCCGCTTCACATTTTAAACACACAGTTAATGAGATTTAATAAGTCATATAATGGTTTCAGATATTTCATTCCCTTCTCCCAGCGCTGAACGAGAGCAGCTGCAGACTCCTTTGAATGACAGGTAGAACCCAAATTCATTCCAATATAATGAGCACCGAAGAAAGCAGCTTATTAGTTAGTTATGCCCAGTGTTAACTTATCTCACACCTAGCAGCATGCACACTTTTAACAATCTTGTATGAGCTCATGTAACGAAAGTGTTGTATAAGAAAAACTGTGCTAACAGGATGACTACAGCAGTGTTGATGCTGCAGGACTCTGGCATGAAGGCTTGCAATATACCCAATGACTGAATATTTAATGTCTGTGCTTTTTAGCAGTTAGTATCCTTTTATGTGTCTGCATTAATATTTACTTTGAGTTTGTTTAGAAGCACTGCAAACTAACTTGTTTGTTCTATGAGAAGATTAAAGCACACTTGTTTTTGTTTACTTAGGTGCTGAACTGCTTTGAACTGGAAACCCAATGAGAACCTACCTTAAGAGTCTACAAAAACTTCTCCTGTAGCTAAGCCGTTGACTAGCTGCAGCCACGCTGGGAGGGAATGGAGGGCGTGAGGGGAAGTAGGCCAACGCTGCAGAAAATATCAAGGAAACCATTCCAAATTCTAAACAAGAGGGCAAAGAAAAACAAAACAGAACGGATGTTAGCATTGAAAGACTTCATTCAGCACAGTATCGTTATCAGCTAGTCTCCAATACACAAATTCTGTTCCAAGTGCTTTACTGTTTCCAACAGCAGAACTCTGTAACTTGAAGGAGTATTTTTTTTCCTCCTCAGGCAAGATTTCAAATTGAGATGGAGAATCAATAAGATGGAGAAATACTGGCAGTCCCTTCCAACGGCAGGAGCTGCAGAGTAAAGGCTCACACGTTAACAGCTCAGGAACTAAGTGAAGCAAAAGGAAAGCAGTCAGGAAGAGAGGACGGAGACTGACGTGGTCTGTAAGACAGACCAGAGTGAGCCTGTTTGCAGATTTAAAACAAGCTGCATTATGAAGATTTGGTTGCGTTTCCTTGTGACAGACGTAGCATGATGCAGGTTACAGCATGCTGGAGACTCTGAACAGATGGGACTGGGGAAGTCCCAGGGCATGGAATTGCAATTATTCAGTGTGCAAGACGATGAAGGTAAACAAAAGGTCAACCAAGGCAGCATCTTAAACACAAACAGTATTACACGGCCCTAGAACAGAAAGAGAAAAGTGCAAGAGCAAACACGTCTCAAGAACAGAGAGAATACAGGTAAGATGGAGCAAAACGGAAGAACATAGCTGTTTGCAGACGCTCCTCTTGTTGAGCAGCAGGTATACTAGAGCTTCAGAAAATTTCAGAGTAGAAGTTTGGACCCAAAGCTGCGAAGTGATGAGCACTTCACAGAAAACGCTCGCCCAGCCCTGCAATTAGACATTCTGAGAGAAAACAATTCTACCCCCAGTCAGTCTAATCTGTTTTACGGGCCTTTTACAATGTACATGCTGTTCTCCACAGTCCTCAATCCAAATATTTGTCCTATCCCCTTTGAAAACAAGATTCTTTACTGCTGGAGACAAACATGTATAGCTGAAGTGTGTTATCTTAAAAGAACCTGTGATCATATTACAAAGATGCGTTCACCAGCACCACAAATAAATTCCAGCAGAGCTGGATACTCAATTGCTTTCATTTTCTTTTTTTTTCTTTTCTTTTTTAATAAATCAATATGAATGTGGCACTTTGCCAGCTCTTCTGCTAAAGCTAAAGAAAATAAATTCAGGAAAGCGAGAAGTAAATAACACTCAGAGTCTGAATGGAGCAGTTGTAGATGGAGAAGGGAAATGAATTTTTTCTATTTGGTAAAAATTATCTATATGGAATCTTCTATACGAAAAAAATTTACACTAAATTTCATTTGAAGGCTTACTGGGAATATGACAATGCCATTCTCCACAATCAAATACTAGAGGATTCACTTTCAACTACCTGGTGTCTCTTTTTCCCACTGCAGTCTAACTACAGGTTTTAAGGGTCAAGGGCACTTTAACTAGACCTTCCTCTCACCACAGCAAATCCTCTGTGCTCCGGAAATAGATTAATTTCTATCTTCCTGTACATTACTGTTTTCAAGAACAGGAACAGTGAATAAAGAACTGGCCATAACTGATTATCCCAGATCTAAGAAAGAGGTGAGAGGCTCTGTCATCGTAAAATGACACCGGACAGGGAAGCAAAGCCTGCCAAAAGCTATTTATCCCCTTCTCCTGCATCTAGGGAAGCAAAGCCTGCCAAAAGCTATTTATCCCCTTCTCCTGCATCTAGGTCTACATACAGGTTTACAGGCATAGGTAAGTATATGCATACATACACTTTAATTACATCTTGAAAGAAAGATTTCAGAACTGCAGATGGGTACAGCCAACAAGAATAGGTGAGCATACAGAAACATTCGCAGTACTTATTATTTATTATACTGCAGTGACATAAGGGAGAAGTTCCCTTTTTCCACAAAGGATGCAAAACGTTGATAATTTTCTTAAAGTCACAGTAATATTTTACAGTAGGTGCTCATTCTAGGTGCCTCTGCTATGGGTTACCTCAAAACTTCTGTCAGTCAAATTAGAGCTGTAGGAGCATTAGAGTAACACGTAGGTCATATTCTTTTAATTATGAAATTCAGCATACAGCCCTTGTAGTACCTTCTTGCAACTCTAACATTTCCCAGCGCTGTACTTCCCAGGCTTATGAATTTGCCTCGGAAACACTGCCCTCATGCACAAAAAAAAAAAAAAAAGAGCAGAATTCTCTTTGGAACCTACCCAAAACCAAAGTTGTTCCTTCTATTCAGGAATAAAAGTCTTTAGTACCATCTTAGCTTTGTGTGTCCTACCTACATGTCACAAGTCCAGGTACCCCCAAACACATCCGATTCCTTAGACGTTGCGTTGCTTCCTCACTAGGAAGCCCACACTTTTGTCATCACCATCATTTACTGTATCAGATCAGATAAAGATGAATACAATCCCAAGCTTTAGAGTGTAAACTGGGAGTGAAAAGCAGTCCCAGCAAAAGGTAAAAGGTAAGAAATAGGTCAACAGGTCAAACTCAAGGGAGTTGCAGTCACAAGAGTGCTCTTCCACAGGAACTAACTGTCCGTTTCTCAACGATGCTGAATGGATCCAAAAAAACACTTGGAACTGGGCAAGTCAGCATAAACCAAGGCACAAAAATGCTACACTGAGATAGACAGCAGTGTGTATCTTCTGCTGAGGAGTGAATCTGAAATGCCTCGCGAAAACAATCCGCATGCCACGCCACAATGATCTGTGAACATCAATGAGGAGAGATGCCTGCATCTTACCCTAGGAATCAGGCACCCTGCTGCTTGAGTAAGCCCTAAATAGAAAAGGGAGAGGTTTACAAACAGAGAAATAAGCCTCCCTGATGTAAGGTCTTTTTCCTTTTGAAAAGCTACTCATAAGTCTAAAAGAAACAAACAAAAAACAAACAAAGAAAAAAGCCGTCCAAATAACCACACTCCCCCAGAACTAACAAACAAAATGATCCCACCCTAAGTCTGTCTTGAACTGTAAGGGGGAAAGGGAGGGAACTCTACACATATATATGTATATATTTAACAAACAATGAGTTTACATTAATGTTTAGGAAAGCACAAGGCTAAAAGCTCTGGCTGGAGTCTAGAATAAGCTTACTTACGCAATTCAGCTAACGCAACTCAGTCCTTACTTGCTACATCTCTACTTTTGTAGGTGTGAACCAGAATGTGTAGAGACACAGATGACACAGAAGGAGGTTGTGATAATTCAGCTGAGTTCTTAGTCCACATTTGACATAAAGGAAGAGCAATTTATTAAAACACAGACGAGACAGGAGGTACCAGAGCAATTTTGGAATGGGTTTATAAGCAATTGCTTCATAATCATGTCTGACGCTGTCGTTGTAAAACTGACATACTCGTGGCATGCTACTGGTCCCAAATTAACAATTCATATTATACAATATTTTAGAAGTCAACCCTAACTTTTGGAGGCTACTTATCTAATGCTATCTCATAAAACAGCAACAGGCTCCGTCATAACCAGAACACACATTAGAAGGTAGAGCGCTTATCCTGTGAAACTGTCTTTCCTGTAGCATCTTAAATGAAAAGTCATGTCAAGCCTGACTGTACTCACCAAAGAAAGAGGGAATAAGGAAACTTGGGCTCAAATCCTAGTTTTGCCAAATTCTGTAACACCTTTACTTTAACACCTTTATTTTGAGCGTCGTTTTCTGCCTGAGTAACAGGACAAATTATATCCTACCATACCTGTTTACATGTTTTACGGTCTGCAAGTGAACAGAGCTGTACAACTGCTCCTTACTTACCACAAGGCAGATTTTCTTCCATCTCTGGATCATACCTGGCATTAAGAGCACAAGAGAGAGGTACACACGGGGGAACCTGCTACTAGAGCTCTCCAGGAAAGAGGTCTGAGCTGAGACACGGCAAGTCCTGTAAAGCAAGAGGAGGTTGTCTCCCATCCGACTGTTCCAATAAACTCTAAATTAGTTGCAAGTTTTGCCACCATCGCTACAATTCTCTGCAGCCCAGTAACACTCAGACACAAGTTCCTTTCCACTGCCAGAGCAGCAAGAAAAGCTGCAGCTCCTGAAACTGTTTACGCCGTACGACACATCACTAACATAGCAAGCGCAGCTGCACAACCCTCCTCCCCCGCAAGCTACGTATTTTAAAGTGCTCTGAACAAAGTCAAAACTACAGACACCCCACAAAACACATTTCCTAGGAAACGAAACAGCTGCCGTACAATGATCTTGCACTGGGAACAGCAACCCCAAACACATCTAAGGGACGGGGTGCTCCCAAACCCTCGCCAGCTCAGAAAGGGAGAAAGCCTGTTGCCTGCTACAGAGTTCCCCATAAACCCTTGCCGAAACATGGACAGGCAAAACACACCTCTGAGCTTCGGGTGGCAAGTGAGATCCACCCTAGTTTCTGAAGAAAACGTTCCAGAAAGCCTCCCCAGAAGAGAACAGAAGTGAAAGCAGTGGTCAGTGGCAGACTACAGATAGGGGCAGCAGCATTTATAGCGCTACTGGGCTCACAAAGAAGTGGGTTTGGGCACCAAACTATTTCCTTGAGGCCACTGGATTCTTATCTCTATCTGGAGAGTTTGGAGAAGGAACGCTAAAGCATTTTTCTAACTATTAGAAATTTGCTCCTCTTACCCACTACTCCTCAGGAGTCCAGTAGAAAGTAAGACTACTCACAGAGAAACAGTCAACTATCTGCTTAAATAGTGATCCAACTTCCACTACACTTTCTTTGAAGTAAGGTAAAGTGACCCGACCCAGTAAGAGTATTAACTTGATGAAATTTCCATAAGAATAATGGCCAGGAAGAAATGATCACAAAAAGCCAAATGAATCCCTTAAACCTGAATATAAACTGCACAGTATATATACTTTAAGTCTTCTGGAATGCTTAAGGATAACTTCTGGCTGAATTTCAGAGGCTGCAAGTAAGAAAAAACCCAAATCTCCAGAATGCCAAATATGTCACTGACATGGCATGGTAAAGTTCAGTTGCTCTTAATGCTACAGAAATTTATATTCACTGAGAACCATGCCCTTGACTCTTAAACCAGTTAGGCAACTCTTTTCCTTTAAAGCTTGCTGCTGAGCATGGCTAATTTATTTTTAAGTAACACAAAGAGCTCCAGAAGCCACTGCAAGACAAAAAAGCAAGGAAAAAAACCTCTAGTTTTATCAGGAAAATTTTATATCAGGATTTTTTCCACTAACCTGTTGTCACTTCACCGACATCGCTCAGTGCATAAAAATTATGTGATTTCTGTTAAAAAAAGAAAATCTATCGAGTTTTAATTCCAGTGTCAGATACTTAAATACTAATTATCTAATCACGTTTGAAAGGCATACATAAGTCATAAATGCATGCTGATTTAACGCAGAAAAGAATTTAATGCTGCAAGACTATTGGACTTTCACCCTCAATTCCATCCTCATGGAAACAGACACAAAGGAAAAAACAACTTGGCAGGGTACGTTTATTATGAAAATTCAGGAAGTGGCAGTTTGGAAGCTCCGGGAAAGCTTAAGCTCTCGCAGAAGACATTTCTCCTAAGATCAGCTGATTCAAACGGAACTACTCCATTTGTTATCACTCTGTACAAAAGGCCATTCTGAACTCTTTCCTACAGAAAAGGGAACAAAATTTAACTCTTCTGATAGCGAGGTGGTAAAACGTACTATTTTCCATCAGTTAGTAGTCGTTTTCTTTGCAGACCAGCCACTAGAGGGCAGTGGTTCACAAGTACCAACACACACACACACACACACACACACACACACACACACACACACAACTAAAGGATGGTTTTTTTTAAATTTTATTATTATTTTAAAACCATACCTGCATACAGTACAGCCTCAATGCGGTCCTTGATGTGTTCAGTGTTGCTTCCCGACACAAGGAGGAGGTGCGATGTTCCGTTAGGAGATGGTACGACGAGAGGTCCCACCAAAAACGCACCGGCAGCACCCAGGTAATTGAGCAGCGACGCAATGGCCGTTGCCGTGGCACGTTCATCTGGAGAAAACCACGTAGTGGAAAGAAACGGCGCGGCGTTCATCACCGTTGGCCCTGCCAAGCCGTTTAACAGCTGTCCTCCGTGAATCAGTCTGGAATACAGAATAGAAATCAAAGCCATTGGGATGATGATTACTTTTTAGGATACTGCGCAAGATACTGAGTGCTTGGGACGGAATAACTGCACAAAAGCCCTGCGTAATAAATAAATGAACACACAAACAAAATGTTCTGTACACTGAAAGAAGCCCAATTAGACCAATTTAAAGAACGCTGGGCTACTTCATTCTCATTTCCTCACAGAAATGGAGGAGCCAATGTACTGCTCAAAGAAGAAAAGGAAGAAGGAACAAAAGGGACTGTCTTTGCAGAAAAAGGTATTGTGACTGGACATAAAAGGACAGAAGGTTTTAATAGCAGGAAAGAGCTAAAAATACAAACATCTGAAGCTTGACCCCTTATATGCCTGCATAAATCCCAACAGAAGATCTAAATTTGTTATGCTAGATCCAAAACTGAAACACTTCAGCAAAATACTCTGCATATTTTTTCACTGCATTATTTATTTTTATTTGCACACTCAGACGAGCTGTATGTGCCTACAGATGAGGAGGCGGGTTGTCGAGGGCTCTGAGAGAATCGTCGTCTTCAGCAATCTGGCCACGCTCAGCACACTGTTGAAAGAGCTGAGCAAAGCCAGTTTTTTCCTTGTTTTTCACACTCACTGGGATCTAACAGATAAGACCAGTGACAAAACAGAGATACTACTTCCAAGTGTTGAAGTCTCTACAAACTTTTGCTTAATGTTAGTACAACGAGCACACACACAAAGAACTTTCTGAAGGTTCTTCTAAACGCGAAATCCAGCCAGCAGCCTTCCACTTTGACTTTTGCAAAAGTGATCAGTCTTGAAAAGCAAAAGCATTCTGGCATTTATACAGAAACCTGTTGTCTTAAAAAAAAAAAAAAAAAAAAAAAAAAAAGACAGCTAGCAAGTCAACCAAAATATTGTAACCTCTGCAACGCAGATTATCCATTGTGCAATAAAACAGTGGCAGATGCTATTTTAAAATGGATGGGGGAGGAAGGAGAGAAGAACTCCTTGTTTTTCTAAGCGTAGCATGGACTCTGTGTTATTGCTGCAAGACTGGAGTTGTCAGACATAAAAAGCTATGGCCTGCAAATGGGGAAACATAAGCTAGCACTTAGGCAGTGTTTCAAGCCACAAATGGCTAAATAATATGCAGTGTTATATACAGTTAATATACAGTATTTTTCTTTTTTTTTTTTTTTTTAAAGCACACTAAGGAAAATATACACAAGAGAAATGCTGACAGACTGTTCATCAAACCAATAAGCTAGCTTGTAATAAGAATATATGTTACTAATTCTCAGCTGATCAGAAATTAATTTTTAAAGCAAAGTTGTAAGAAACATACAGTGCAAAGAAAAAAAAAAGGAAAAAAAAGCTATCACATATCATCTGAAGGAAATACTCTCCTATCTAGGAAGGAAGTAGTATCCACTCTGAAATATAAGGAAATATACTTTTTCAAAAGTTTACATAATGAGGATAGATTTCATTGCTATGTGTTCATGATGTGCTTTAAATGGACATCATAAGCTAAACATGGTCAAGTCTTGTTAATGCTCATTAAACTGGGACCTCCAATAAAATGAAATGGACTAGTTCTAAAGAAATAAAAATCACTATCAAAATAATGCTCTAGAGTAGCTTTTGGAGCTGCAAAACATGAACTAATCACTTAAGGTTACTCTCCGATCCATTGTGCTTTGGACAAACTAAGGTATTCTTGTATACTTTGGTATTTTCATTCTACCTATCTCACAATAATAAATTATTCTCATACTTACCCTAAACTGTTTCAAGATATTTGCATAGCTATTCTGCATCTCCAGAAATGGCTGCATTTCACTGGCAAGTTAAGTAATTACTGCAGATCTAAATATTTTATTTTAACAGCGCTTCTTGCTCCAGAGTGCATTTAATGCTTAAGCTGTGAATGCTACAAAAACTGTCACCACCAAATAACCCTTTTTGGCTATATACCATATTAACACCTTTGTTCACTTATACCACTATGATAATATTGTTCTAATTCAGATATGCATACTATACTGAAGTCCTATGGGCACATAAAATTCCCTACAGTCAGAAAAAAGGACTGCAGTCCTTCTGCAGGTTTATAAAGGGGCATGTAGACTCTTCACCCGGTCCCAGAAAAAGTTTTGTTAAAAAAAAAAAAAATTCAAAAATTGTGGGAGTTATATGTACTCTTTTCATGTAGTTACACTTCAGGTTTAGATTACTTCTTATCAAACTTCACCATCCCAATAAAGCTCTATAACTGGCCTCCATTCTATAACTGGCCACCATACTAGAGGGAAACAAGATTGTTTTAAAAAAAAGGGGGGGGGGGGGAGGGAAAACTGTTTTAATTCAGAACTTCATTTGCAAAACTAACTCAAGACAGAAAAGCGATGGAGAAATAAAAACTCTCTTTTTGTCTCTGTGTAGGACTTTTCTGTTATGTTCCCGTCTCCTCTCCTTCCTGCCCTCGCCAGTCTGGTACGCTGTCTGTTCTGATTGATTTGCCTTTCTATCTGTGTTTCTGGCGTCTGTCAAACTTGACATTATCATGCAGGGCAGAGCATCTCCTATCTTCCTACGGCTTAGTTTTTCAAATCTAACTTACTGGGGTTAAACAACACTATTTTCAGAATAAATTGCCATTGGTATACAGACTGCCTCAAACGTCTGCATACGAGCGTAGTCTTAACCTTATTGTATATCCTGTTCAAGTATTGGCTTGAATTAAGCTACTTTCTCCAGAGAAAAAGATTATTTTCATTGTTCCTCTACATCTCCTTAACTCATCTCCCTAGAGAGACAGGAAAGAGATATTCAAAATGTGATTCAGTGCAGTTAGCAATCTACTGCTCTGGGAGACACATGTAGCAGCCGCTACAGCTGACAGAGAGAAAAATGAACACAGTATTCCTGGTGCCTTTCTGCTGTTTGTTACCATGTCTTCTCATCAGCGAGCCAGATTGCAGTCTAACAGCCTACAGGATTCTTTTCTTGTAGACCATCAGCAGCACTAAAAATTGCTCCAACATCAGAAATATTTGTTTCTGTTATTTCCCCATTTTCTTCTTGTTTCTACCATCCAAAAAGAGCAACTGTGGTTTTTTCCCCACAATTCAATTTCAGTGTGATTCCTGACAAGATTTGTCTTCTCTGAAAACAGGACTAGCAAGACAACTTCCGCTCAGGGCTAAACCCAGATGGAATAACATTTTTAAGACCTATTACATTAGCAGTGTCATTTTGATCTGTTCTTTATCCACCTCTGTCCTGTTTTCATATGCCTTATTTATCCAATTGCCATCTAATTGTCTTAGTGTATCCAAAAAGTAGCAAATTATTAAGTTCCAGTTAGAGAAAATATCAGAAGAGTGGAAGACTTTTTAATTACAGTCACGAAAAACAAACAAAGAAAAAATATAACATCAAAAATTCCCCCTCTCCAACTTATAAAAGAATTGATTACTATCTAGCTTAAATCAGAAGCGAGCAAGTGAACATCTACGCAAAGGACATTATTTGTTACTATCTCAGGAGCCATGTCAGAGACTCGTTTCAAGGTGAGGGGGGAAAAAGAAAGAAAGAAAGAAAGAAAAAAAAAAAAGGCGCTTTTGAAAACCTGACCCCTGGGCTTAAGAATTTGTGTATGCTGCCAAATTTGTAATTTGCAACTAAACATATGAGCTCTCTATGAAAAATAGTACGATTCTGAGGACTGGCAGTAAATGCTAATGCTAAATATCATGTGTCATAGCATCACAGCAATGCATACATTAAAAATTTACTATATATTTACTATATACATATTATATGCATACACACACACAAAACGTACACACACATACTCTTGCACAAAAGAAAAGATCATGTCCCTAGACTGGCCTCTGAATTGGAAAAAGGGATAATTCATTTACAACAGCAGAAATTAGAGAAGAAAAAGTCTTATTGTACTGTATCTTCTTCTCTTTTTCAATTTTTTGTTAAGTTAAAATTTAAGTAACCCGACTTATATGGTTTTCATCACTTCTCCCAGAGAACGTTTTATATGCAAGTCTTAAAAAGTAACCTGGTTACACCTGCTTTATTCACTCCCTGCTGTTACACCTGCAGTATCATAACAAGTAACAACAACAAAAAAAAATGTAAAGCTATAAACGCTGATAAGCTATAAATTACAATATCAGTTCATGAACTGAGTATTAAAGAGAGTGAAATTATACAGGAAAAGGCTTTAGTGACTGATGAAAACACGCTATAGTTAAGACTGCAGAGAGCTTCCATTTACAGTCTGCTTTACTTATCTTTTTCTCCCTGCATTAGTTGAAACTTTTTATGCACGGTCCCAGTCCCATAAGGAATTGCATTTGTTGAGCTATTCAGAAGCTACCTGTTACATAAACACTTCCACCATGTAAAAAGAACAGACATTTAATATTTCTAGCACAGCATGTCTCAGGCCTAGACTTAAGAGCATTTCAAAAGACAAATCTCACTAGTTTCCTCTCTCAGGTGGCGAAATAAAGGCAATGGTAGAGGGAATAAGGATTTACCTGAGAAGTGACCTGTAACGCAACCGATTCAAACCACAATGGTAAAAAAGGGTCTCCAAAACACAGTTAAGATCTGTTAATTGAGCCTTCTTTCGGAAAGCGAGGAATTAAAAATTCACATGAGCATTTTAACAATAATTTGCGGAGTGGAAATAGCGTTTGCACCTTTTCTTTGTCAGGTAAGACACTGGACGCGTGAGAAAGTCAGCCCCAACACGCTGCTCTGACTCTCTAAACATAAATCTTCTCTATCAGGTTCTGACGAGCTTCTGGTCAACTGGGAAAATAGGCCTATTTACACCCTGGAGGGGAGAAGAGCTCCTCTCAAGAGCGTGTGGAGACAGGCTTTTTGGATGGTGTTTCAGGTTTTTTTGTTTCCTTTTCTTTTTCACCTTTTATCAAGCTTTTTTCTACTAGCTGCCAGGAGAACTGA